TGACATAAAGCTCAGGAATAATAAATAAAGCTATTATATGACAACGATAAATACATACTAATTGATCAATGTGTTGGTGCTATTTACTTGAAGAGCTGAAGCCACAATTTTGTTTTATTTCTAGAGTATGAGAGGGTTGTAACTGTTGCCAGTGTGTTTTGCCATGTGTGTCTCATTAGAGAGATTTCCCTTCACGTCATAACCCACACACACAACAAGAAATTGCCTTCAAAGTGAAGGAAAATCCCCTCGGGTTTGACAGTTGTCATCAGACCCACATTTGAAGATTTCCTCTCTATCCCTGTTGTGGTGACAACTCAAAATTTGTGATTTTTCCTTCACTCTCAGTAATAATGGTCACCAAGACAAATAGAGAGGGTGACAACAGTAATAAGGTGTTGGATGTTCTAATCCCTCTCCACTTTAACCAAAAATCAAATAAAAAAAGGTTTGGTCTGCAATTGCACTTTAGCATGCCCCTGGGGTTTGACAGTTGTCATAAGACCCACATTTGTAGATTTCCCCTCTATCCCTGTTGTGGGTGACAACTCAAAATTTGTGATTTTTCCTTCACTCTCAGTAATAATGGTCACCAAGACAAATAGAGAGGGTGACAACAGTAAAAACGTTGTGTTCTAATCCCTCTTCACTTTAACCAAAAATCAAATAAAAAAAAGGTTTGGTCTGCAATTGCACTTTAGCATGCCCCTAAGAGAAAAAGTTTTTCTTTTCAATTTGGGCAAATTGTGGAAATGTTAGAACCTCTGTCAGGATTATATTGCTTGCTGTGTCTCAACTGTTGAGAATCACCCTCTCTATTTGGTGACCATTACCTCCAGAACCAGACAGTGCTGTAAAATCCATAAATTTTGAGTTGTTTGGCCTTGTTCACACAGGTATACTGCAGCATATGCCTGTGCAAGGGCCATGTTACCCGCATGGGGTAGCACAGGTGTTCCATGCATTTTGTGCAGGCAGTCCCATTCATGTCAGTTAACATTGCTAGCCTCTTCCGGGCACAAGGCACAAGTGCTCCCACCTGTCGACTCCCGCTCTGATTAGACACAGCAGGATTTTGTCAGCAGGTCCTGCACAATGATTTATGGCCAGGATCAGCTGTGTCCAATCACAGACCAGAGCCCTGTGTTAACAATCAACACAGGGCTCTTTATAGAGGGAAACAATCTCTTTGTTTCTTTTCCCTGGGAAGGAACAAAGATTTTTAGTAAAGAGCAGAACATAATACACAAATTAACACTTGTTAGGCACACACTTAACCCCTTTATTACCCCGAAATGTTAATCTGTTCCCAGCCAGTGTCATTAGTACAATGGCAGTGTGCAGTATTATCACTGATCACTGTATTAGTGTCACTGAAAAAAATATTGTTCTTTTTTCAAACTTTCTGGTCTTTTTTTGCTTATATAACCACTTTATTACAGCGCCATTGCTAAAAGATGGCTACAGTACGGTTCTCTTCCCCTGGCGTGCGCATCAGGCGAGCTCTTCTGTGATCGCTGTGTCATTTGGACACAGCTGATCACAGATCAAGGAAAATGGACAAATGCAGTGGCTATTTACCATGTGATTTCTGTGTGCATTCGCAGCTGATCACATGTAAACAAATGCCAGTTATCAGCATTTCCTTTCCTCATACGCTGCCACTGTGTGAGGAAAGGAAAGCATATAACCATCAATCCTGACAGCACATATTTACACTGATAATCAGGTCAGTGCAGCCCCATCAGTGCCCATGAAAGCAGGTTATTAGTGCCCATCAGTGCAGCTTATCAGTGCCCATCAGTGTCTCTCCATCAGCACAGCCTCATCACTACCCATCAATGTAGCTTATTAGTGCCCATTAGTGCACATCAATGCTGCCTCATCAGCACCCATCAGTGCAGCCTCAACGGCGCCCATCAGTGCAGCCTCACTGGTGCCCATCAGTGCAGCCTCACCAGCGCCCATCAGTGCAGCCTCGCCAATGCCCAACAGTGCAGCCTCACCAATGCCCAACAGTGCATCCTCACTAATGCCCATCAGCACACACTCATCAGTGCCCAACAGTGCTCATCAGTGCAGCCTCATCAGCGCACATCAGGGAAGAAGAAAACTCATTTGCAAAATTTTATAACAGAAATTTTTGGTCTTTTTTAGTTTGCTTAGCAAAAAATAAAAAACCCAGTGGTGATTAAATACCACCAAAAGAAAGCTCTATCTGTCTCAAAAAATTATAAAAATTCCCTATGGGTACAGTTTCAAATAACTGCGCAATTGTCTTTCAAAGTGCGACAGCACTGAAAGGTGAAAATTGGCCTGGACAGGAAGGGGGTGCAAGTGCCAAGCAATGAAGTGATTAATAAAAATAAAAGAAAAACAGTGGAGATCAAATACCAGAAAAAGTGTGCGAAAAAAATGATACAAATTTTGTTTGGTTACAGTGTTGCATGACAGCACCATTACCAGTTAAGGTAGTGTAGTGCTAAATAGCAAAACATGGCCTGGGCATGAAGGGAGTAAAACCTTCCGGAGCTAAAGTGGTTTACACCCCGGTCACACTGGGTGTGACTTGGCATGCGATTTGCATGCCATGCAACTTGAAAATTGCTCCCTGGTCTCCTCCTCCCATGTTCGTCTCCAGGGCTTTCCCCATCCTCTGGAACTTCCTACCCCAATCCATCAGACTATCACCTACTCTGCTCACCTTTGCTCACTCTGAAAACCTATCTCTTCAGGGAAGCCTACCATGCCCTCAGCTAATTACTGAACTCCTCCACTCTACCTACCACTCACTCCCCCCACAGCTATTTCCTCCTGTACCACTATCCCCTCCCTCCTAGATTGTAAGCTCCAAGGAGCAGGGCCCTCGAACCCTTCTTGTATTTTATTGTATTGTTACTGTACTGTCTCGTGTACTGTCTCCCACCATAATGTAAAGCGTGGAGCAAACTGTCGCCGCTGTATAAATCCTGTATAATAATAATAATTGTATACCAAGTCGCACCTTATTGTCCACAATTACACCGATTTCTAGAGTAGTACATGCACTACTTTTAGTGCAATTTGCATACACATCTGTGTCAGATGTCTTGCAAATCACACCTGAAATCGGCATGTCCCCTGACTTTGAAATCGTGCAAGTCGTTCTTGATGTGACCGGGGTGTAACCCACAGTGGCTGCACACACAGGGCTGCTGCTCCCAATCTGACATCTTTGCAGTTGAGAGTGCATGGCTTCAAATGCAGACAGTGTGCGTTTGGGGTCATGCATCCGCACCTGCACAGATGCCAAATTGGGAGCAGCGGCTGCTTCCATGCAACCACTGCATCCAACTTGACATGATTGGGATGAACATCTGTGTGTATGCTGTAGTACACTCACGTGAATGAGGCCTTACTGAACAGGAATAAAACTCTTCCAATGGGAACTCTAGATCTTGTGATAGCTTTCTAAAGAGATTTTTACTACACACTGCAAGATGCTTGAAGTCCAGTGTGAAGTTTCCTGTCTGTGTTGATTTGGGGAGCCATGTCATCTGCTGGTGTTGGTCCACTGTGCTTCATTAAGTCCAGGGTCAATGCAGCCGTCTACCAGGAGATTTTGGAGCACTTCATGCTTCCTTCCACAGACGAGCTTTATGGGGATGCTGACTTCATTTTCCAGCAGGACTTGGCACCTGGCCACATTGCCAAAAGCACCAAAACCTGGTTCAATGACCATGGGATTACTGTGCTTGATTGGCCAGCAAACTCGCCTGACCTGAACCCCATAGAGAATCTATGGGGCATTGCCAAGAGAAATACGAGAGACAAGAGACCGAACAATGCAGAAGAGCTGAAGGCCGCTATTGAAGCATCCTGGTCTTCCATAACACCTCAGAAGTGCCACAGGCTGATAGCTTCCATGCCACGCCGCATTGAGGCAGTAATTGCTGCAAAAGGGTCCCAAACCAAGTAGTGAGTACATATGCATGCTTATACTTTTCAGAGGTCCGATATTGTTCTATGTACAATCCTTGTTTTATTGATTGCATGTAATATTCTAATTTTCTGAGATTGTGGATTTGGGGTTTTCATGAGCTGTAAGCCATAATCATCACAATTATGACAAATCACGGCTTGAACTATCTTGCTTTGTATGTAATGAGTCTATCTCCTATATTAGTTTCACCTTTTAAGTTGCTTTACTGAAATAAATGAACTTTTGCACGATATTCAAATTTTTCGAGTTTCACCTGTATGTACTGCAAGAGCCTGCCTAATTGGATACAATTGAAAGTGTTGTTAGGTTTGACCTCGTATTATATGGTTTTTGGTAAATCTAAATCAAAAATCTCAAGAAAATTGGATAATCTATGGCCAGCCTTAGGAAGGGTAAGGCTGGCCAGCTGGCAAGTGTTGTTTAGGTCTGACCTCATATTATATGGCTTTTGGTAAGTCTAAAGAAAAATTCTCAAGAAAATTGTATAGTGTATGGCCAGCCTTAGGCAGGCCACACATTATGCAATTTTCTTGAGAATTTTGCTTTAGATTTACCAAAAGCCATATAATACGAGGTCAAACCTAAACAACACTTTCAGTTGTATCCAATTAGGTGGGCCCTTGCACTACACAGTTGAAGGTAAATCTAAAGGAAATTGGGCAGGAATAGGACAGAAAATTGTAAGAAAATTGTATTGTGTATGGCCAGCCTTATACACCATGTCAGATCTCCAGTCCACAAAAGAAAGAAAATGTAAAATACTTTAACCACTTGCCTACAGGGCACTTATACCCCCTTCCTGCCCAGGCCAATTTCCAGCTTTCAGCGCTGTTGCACTTTGAATGACAATTGCGCGATCATGCAACACTGTACCCATATGAAATTTTTTTCATTTTTTTTGTGACAGATAGAGCTTTATTTTGGTGGTATTTAATCACCTCTGGGTTTTTTATTTTTTCTTAAACAAACCAAAAACCACTGAAAATTTTGAAAAAAAAAGTTTTTTTCTTAGTTTTTGTTATAAAATGTTGTAAATAAGTGATTTCTCTTCTTCACTGATGTGCGCTAATGAAGCTGCAGTGATAGGCACTGATAGGCTGCACTTATGGACACTTATAGGTGGCACTGATGAGGAGGCACTGGTAGGTGGCACTGATGGGCATTTACAGGCATCACTGATGGGCACTGAAAGGCAGCACTCATATATGGCACTGATAGGTGGCATTGACTGGCACTGATAGGCGGCACTGACTGGCACTGCTAGGTGGCACTGACTGACAGTGTTAGGCTGCACTGATAGGCAGCACTGACGGGCACTGATAAGGCGGCACTGATGCACTCTGATAGGCGGCACTGACTGGCACTGATAGGTGGCACTAAATGGCAGCACTGATAGGAGGCACTGACTGGCATTGATAGGTGGCACTGACTGGCACTGATGGCTGACACTGAAAGGCAATTCAAATGGGCACTGATATGTGGCATTGATGTGGCACTGATGGGCACTGAAATGTGGCACTGGCAGGTGGCATGGAGCACTGAGAGCTGACAATGATGGATACTGACAGGTGGCACTGCTGGGGCACACTGATCATCAGGGCACACTGATCATCAGTGCCCTGATGATCAGTGTACATGTCCCCTCCGAGGAAGGCCGATTACAGGCTCTCCTCACAAGCTGTCAGCGTGACAGCTCGTGGGCAGAGAACTGCCGATAACAAGCATTTCCCTGTTTACATGTGACCAGCTGTGATTGGACACAGCTGATCACATGACCGAGCCGACATCTTAGGCTCTTTCCGTGGATCGGTGATCCGCTGTGTCCGAGGGACACAGCACAAAACCGATCGTCGCGCATGCACGGTTAAAATGGGAGGACGTCATATGACATCCTGCCAGAACGAGAGAACCACCTTGCGTCCTTCATATTACTATATGGCGGGCGGGAGGCGGTTAAATACTTTAAAGCCAGATTCCATGTTTATGGCAACATTAATATTATCCATGTGAAGGAGCCATATTTGTTTCTGCATACAGTGTATTGTCAGTTTATGGCTGCACATATCCCTCGTACCCAATGCTGTAATATTAATACTGTTGATTATCATCAGGAAACTCTAGGCAGGTGGAAAGATGTGCACTTTACAGCTAAATTCTGATAGCTGTCTTTTAATAGCCAAAGTTAGCAAAGTATGCCGACTGTAGAAAATTCCACTATAGTTGGATGAGTAAGGGTTATTATTGCTATTAGATGAACTCTTCAGGCAGTACATTATATTTAGCAATTTAGCTAAATTAACTCTTCCCAAGATATTTTTTTTTTTACCTCCCTGAGACTGGCAGATTTACGGCAAAAAAAAAGCCATTTCAATACAAGAAAGATTAAATATGGGATGATTAATGGAAGCTGCTGTTTTTTAAGTGCTTTTTCATACTGTATGTTTAAAAGAAAATGAAATATGAAAGAGTTTCTGGATCCCTGATACAGGGGATGAGGACATACAAAGACATTTATCATGAATGAGGGCAATTTAGAACTAGGAAAAACATAGGTAGCCCAGCAGCAAGTAAAGACAGTTTAATGCATTGTCTTTTCTTCATATGAGAGATATGAGTGGTGACTGATGGTTTACCCAACATTCAGAAATGAGGCAGCTCTCAGGAATGTAAATGGATGGAAGTTTACTGTTCCAGGTGTCTATGACAGGAGGGAGGATACGTCAGTTTTCATACCTCTTCACCCTTTGGTATTTCCTTTACTGAACGGAGTTGCAGGCACGTTCCTTCAAACACTATCACACAGTTTGGATCACAACTGTGGTTTAAAAGAGACATGCTGTTATAGAAAAATCAAAGGCAAAATTAGTATTAAAAAAAAACAAACAAAAAAAAAAACTAGTTTTTGGTAGATATTGGTTATATATGGGTTGTCATTGCTAACCTGCTTCTGAACTTGGTATTTTTCTGGATGCCATCTGACAACACTAGCTGGGATCTCCTTCCATGCTTAGCGTAGTCAGAAACATACAGGAAAGGCTACATTATCAAAGGGATCAGCAGAATCAGCAGGTGCTTCCAGTACATCGTTTTTACTTTAATAAAATGAACTCATATACAGCATTGTAAGAGATAAAGGACAGTAGTTTGCAAGTTTTATCATTTAGGTTAACTTTAAAGTATATGTGAACCCTAACCTTGTAAAGCAACCCATTCAGTAGAAATGGAAAGTAAAATATTTGTGAATACATATAAAAAAAAAAATGTTGTTTGCTCCGCCCTGCAAGGCGGTTTTTTGGTTTTTTTTTTTTTCCTTTTTTGTACTCTTGTTTGTAAATTGTGGAAAAAAAAATCTTATAAATAAAGATCTGAATTAAATAAAGATCTGAATTAGAATAAAAGGGCAGGGGGTTCCTGAAAACCCCCCCATTGTAAATATCTTTTCTTCCCTTTTTTATATAAATGATCACATACCCTCTGTTCTCCGCTGCATAAGAAGCTCACTGAGCTAGGGGAGGAGAAATAGCAGTACAATGGTCTTTCCAGTGAATGGCTGTGCAGGGGGGGCAAGTCAGCAGAAGTCTGATCACTGGAGGAGAGCAGGCTGAGTTCTCAGCACAGCCAGAAAATTGACTACGCTGTGCTCTCATGCCTAGTATAGTCAGTTTTTAATTGGAAAGCAGAGGGACTGGAAGGAACACCAGGTACTTCACACAAAGGAAACAATACAAAGAGAACAGGATACTTTTTCAGACAAGTGCATAACACAGCAGGCACAAATTAGAAATATGAAATTTTGGGTTGGCATATTCTTTTAATGAGCCAGTGATGCCAAACCTACAGTATATAACCTCTAATTAGCATGAGAAATAAAAAGTCTATTCTGGTATTCAGTTTTTGCATTAATCTACAAAATAGAACATTAATGAAAAAAGTGAAATAATTGGAGGATATATTACGGTTTCACTTTTCCAAATTTAACCAGGGATGAATTTTTGTGTCTGCTATGTGTGTGACTAATACATGCTAGCAAAAAAAGAGCAAAAATCTAATGGTTTTGTTAAATAGACTGATACACATCAAAGCATCATGTTTTTTTTAAATATGGAGGACTGCAAAAAAGACGAAGAAATTAAATCAGAAATGAGAAGTTATAAGGGAAGAGAGAAAAAGGCACATGGGCAAAGTCCTGGTATGCAACAATTTTTCTAGCACACTGGCCAAAACATTTTTTTTTAAATGTTTTTAAAAATGTAAGTTTCTCTCAGTTGAGAAAAGGGAAAAAACATACGGTATATGCAAAATTTCTGGGCTTGCTAGAGCCCCACTCTCTGCTTTCTGGCATTTAACAGGCCAAAACCCAGGTTTTTTTTCAAATACATATGCTTCATTCTCAACAGCAATTAAAAAGATTAGCTAAACCAGTCATTTATACCTATATGCTTAGTGCACATACAAAAAAAATGGCTAGGCATGCATGTGATCTGGAACGAGAAGTTGCTTGTCCTACTGGTGAATAGGGACAAGGTAGGTGGATTAATATATGGAGATAGAAGAATCGATCAGCCATGACACTACAAACTACAGCCATAACAATTGAGCTAATCATGAAAAGGTAAGGAAAACAAATGACACAGGGGAATATAACTACACTAATACCTTATTAACACAACAAAAACATTTTAAAGCGTACAATGCCTTTAAATTGACTATCCCAAAAAGTATGCAATGGTAGATCCTCGTTCAGACAGTGCCTATACAAAACACAAGGAAACTGGTATTGCCCAAATAAGCAAAAATTACCTCATTTACAAGTTTGTCTGTGGGTTTCCTTGCATGAACTGTTGGTTTCAAATACTCCCACAGCATTTTAATAGCATTCAGATCACGGTATTGGTTATGCCATTCCATTATTACGTATGTGTTCTTTTTCAGCCTTTTCTTTTTGGATTTGCTAGAGTGCTTTGATTGTTATAGTGTGGCCTATAGCGTTGGCCTTACAATCTCATCAAGCACACATTGTTATACAGAATACATGGATGACTCAACAACTATAAGCTCCTCAGGCATTGAAATAGCAAAGTAACCACAAAACTACTATAACATTTCTCTACTAATATGCCTTATCGTTGCTATGAGATTCTTTTCTTGAAATTCTCTCTTCAGTTTGTTACAAATACTGTATGTCTACCGTTAGTTTGGGCAAACAACTCTGGAATGTGATGGCTACAAAGGCGGGTGAGCTCAGTGGGACATTTACTCTTTGGCTGGAAACACTGCATTAGTGGTTTCTGCTGAATCTTTCTGTTGGCAATGTACAGGATTGCTACCCTCAGGGAGTGCTTGGTGAACTATTTACAACATTGATCATTTGTAACAAATGTAGCACTGCCTAAACAACAGATATCCTGTGCTATTTGAACAGACGCCCTTGAATATGAACTCCATCCGCCAAATCCTATCTTTTATTGACCACAATATGTAGTGTGTCCCTATAATCTTCTTTCTGCGGTCCCCCACTGACCTTTTGGAGAAAGGGGGAGTGGTCGTGGATTAGAAGTCTGTTGCATCGTTTGGTTACTTGGTCTTTGCACATAATATATACTAGGGTTGCACAGGTACCGACTTCCACCTCCCTTCTCACTATATGGGTGGTACCACCCGTCACTCGCTGTAACACACATCTGTAAGCCCCTCCCCTGTTCTCCAGCCCACAGTGAGGCCCTGTCTCCAGAACGGCCCTGCTCAGTCAGTGAGGCTCTGGTGTGGACTGCAGGATGTCCAACAGGAGGGAAGGCACCAAGCAGAAGTACTGACTGGGCAGGGTCGGGAAGTCCGCTGTCACCATACAATTCATCCAGGTGAGACTGACATGGGGCTTTAATGAAATGTGTGAGGGGGGACTTGGAGGCCACACAGGGATTTGCTGCATGTGTTATGGCTTAGGCAGCTGATACCCCCCCCCCCGGGGCCACACTGCTCTGCTCTTCTAAATTGTGTAGGGGGGCACATTCTGCTGCCTCCCTACTTGATAGTATGCTGGGGCCCCAGTGACCACACTGTGATGCACTTATATTCTGTTTTGGGCCCCTGGGAGCCACATTCTGCTGCATTCCTACATTGTATAATGCTCTACTCTATTGTGTTTTGGGGTCCAACACTGTGCTGATCTTCTATGCATTGTCTGGGGGTCACACTGGCTGCTATCAGTATATGGGGGGTGACACTAGGGTTGCCACCTGTCCAGGATTTACCCAGACAGTTAAATCATGTGTTCAGGTTTCAGTCTGCCTGAAACCCAGATACATTATTCAGACCAGACTGCTGTCCTGTATTGTCTGTGGGCGTAGCTTCAGGGGGCCCATGCGGCCTCCCTGTCACACATGGACAGGAGGGGCAGCATTTATTAGAACCATTCACCTGTATTTTCCTGGGATGGAGGAGATGGGACTGAAAGAGGAGGACATGGGATGGAGGAGATGAGACTGGAGGAGGAAAATGTGGGATGGAGGAGATGGGATTGGAAGAGGAGTAGGAGATGGGAGGGAGTGTCAAGGTCCTACCTTTTCCCTGAGGTTATGTTACTCCATGTGCTGGCGTCCATCTTGGTTTTCTGCTGTGCATGGTGGGAATCCTTTTATGCCTTCAGGTCAACAGCAATGTTCAGGTAGGTGATACATGTCAAAGTAACATCCACACGAATGGCAGGACCCAAGGTTTCCCAGCAGAATATTGCCCAAAGCATCACCCTGCCCCTGCCGACTTGCCTTCTTCCCATACTGCATCCTGGTACCACCTTTTCCCCAGGTAAGAGATGGATACATATCGGGCCATCCACATAAT